TCCTCCTCCTCCTCCTCCCTCTGATTGCTGCAGGTTTGTAGCTTGCACATTTCTGTGCACTTTAATTTGTTGGCAAGACAGGAACAGTCGGGAAGCTTGCAGGTCCGTGAACACTTGCAGGCCATAAGCTCCAGAACAGCCATTGGCGCTGGGGGTCCCCGCATCCAGTCTAACATCAGCATACCTGTACAAATAAGTGGAAGATATTTCTCATCCATTTCAGTGAGGTGTCCAAATGTCTAGAAATAACCTATACATATTTATACTATTTTATTATTAGTTATTAGAAAATTTAATTATTGTACTTATTATAAGCATACCTTTGTCATCAGTTGTCCATCCATGTCCTTTTGGTTCGGGTATGTCTGGCTGTCCTTCCGGACAGTGCCTCCAGACAGCTGCCTGGTAATTGGCACGCTGTATATGCAGCTTTAAGCAGTCCCTGCAAGGGGGAAGTAGGCTGGACTCCACTTTACCCCTTTTGGTACAGAATAGCAGGTAACGTAGATCATTGACATTTACATTTACATTTAGTCATTTAGCAGACGCTTTTATCCAAAGCGACTTACAATTGGGGGACATCACACACATGGACATCACATACACTAGACGATGGTGCATACATCCTGCAGACAAATGATTCCATGCTGCTGTATAATTCCTCTGATACATCCCAGGATGTTCCCAGGGATTTGAAGGACTCTTGGAATGTCCTGTTTCCTTTCACAAGTTTGAGAGCGGTACGTTTTCCTCGTCCTGCAAAAGCACTTACGCTATCACAACCTGTAAAGGCATGTACCCCTATAAGAGCATCACAAAGGTCATCTCCAAGGAGCTGAGCAAGGTTGCTGATGTTGATGTACCTTGTTCGATTCTGAGTGCCAGATTTCTGATAAAGGGGGCAGTTTATCTTCTTACAGCATCCAAGACAAAGGATCATGACATCCGTATCCTCACTCACAATAACTGTGGTTTGATAGCCATTCTGGCTAGCATGATTTGCATGTAGGAGCATACGGGTATCCGCCTCCTCATGGGAAGATTTCAGCTCTTCAACAACATTCCAGTCTTTTTTGGTCAGACAATAACATCTCTCTCCACAGGTTGCAAATAGCTGCTTGTCCTGAAGCTTTACTCGGTTCTCTGCTAGCTTCCACTGGTCCACGATGAATGTTATCAAGGCTGTTTTACTGTCTGTATTGCTTAACAGCTTTCTCCACTGCACTACATTGTGTCCCGGGGCAATGTTCTTCCATTGAGTGCTACTTGCTGAACCACGATTGTATCTCTCAGCATTCTTGATTGATGTTTTCTAGTACACATCAAACACCACATCTATCCGCTTACTGTTTCTTCCTTCGTGCAACGTTAGGTTCAGCACAGAACCAGCAATCTCTCCAAAAGTCTTGCCATCACTTTTTAGTTTCTGAACAAGGCTCATTCCATCAATGATGCATGCAGAGTGTTCTCTAATATCTTCAACTGATGATGCTGATTTCTCTAACTCTCTTGCAAGAGCAGCCTTATTAGTTTTCCGCAATGAGCCATCTGGATTTGAGAGTGCCCAAGGCAATGGACCAAGTGGATGAGCCAGGAAATATTTAATGTGAAGTTCTCTACTTTGCGAAGCAATGATCATATGCCCAAAGAGATTTCTATCAGCTTTCAAGACCTTTTGTGCTTGTTTTACTCTAGCACTTGTCTTGAAGCTTGAGAATGTCTTCAGATTCTGTTTTCTCATTTTGTCATGGAACTTGGTTGCAGGTGACTCTTTCTCTAAACGTTCACTTCTGAACGTCTGATATGCCTGCTCTCCAGTCTGGTGAGCTTGCAGCAGATCACTAGCTATGTCTGGTGACACAGCCATTCCTGTGGAAAGACTAATGATTTCAGACTGATCTGGACCTAGACGGTTTACCCAGCTTCTCTCTATAAGTTCTACAAAGGCATTTACATCTGCCCTATCCTTCTCTATCCTGGGCTTCTGTAAATCTTGATGACTGAAACACTTTGTATACTCATTCCCTGTCATGTTCCTGAGTTGCCTCAGATACTGACTTCTGTTTTCTGAAGTGAGATAGTATCTGGTGACTGCTCCAGTTTTTAGGCTGAAACCTTGCAGAGACTTCATGATGCTTATCGACTGGTGAAGTACCTCATGTACTGTTGATAACTGTGTAGCAGGAGCATTGATTGTTGGCAAATAGCCTATACTATCTTCTTGTACACTTGTATCGTTGTGGGTGAGGATGTTGAACCCAGTCCAGCTGCAAACATCTTTGTTGGAAAGACGAGCCATTAGCCACATGTGGTTTCTGTCTGCTGCATCCTGTAGAAAGGAGGCATGATCAGTGTCAACCGTCTGTATAAAAGGAGGATTGGCACGCTCTCCTGCATTGTAAATGGGAAGTACCATCTCTACTGCTTCAATGCTTCTCTTCTTGGTTTTGGGGATGCAAGGCAAAGCTCTGGTCTCAGCAGGATGATCAGCAATAGGCTTTGTTTGCACATCAATTCCATTTACTCTGTGATGTCCCTTCACCACTGATTGTCTCCTCTAGTCTGTCTATATTGTCCCACGCCAATGTTGTGAACAGACCAGGCTTGATGTTTTGTGGTAGTTGGATGGCATCTCCACTTGCTGCTTGCTTCTGAAGGCAAAGGGCTGTGTCAATTTCTTCTACCTGAGAATATGAAACACCATGGCCGAGTCTATTCAGTATCTTAGACAGTCTTGTCTATCCATATCTGAAAAGATATCCCCCTAACATCAATATATTTTGAGATAGATATACAAATATAACAATTTAATAGATGCAAAAAATTGTTTTCTTTAATATGAAGTCTAATATAAAACGTATACAACAAATATCATGTAAAATTATGGCAGATCTGGATAGCCCTGACTGTCCTGAAAACATCAACATATAGCATGTATGGCTACCTCTTACAATATACTTCATACAAACCTGCTGTGCAGATACTGTATGACGATAATGGCAAAAATAATGATTGTCCCAAAAGATTAGTAAAGCTACTCATTTGAAATGGTTATCATGTTTCAAAGTACTTATATGGACTCTACAAACAAACTGGTACCAAAGAGATTTTGCCACCTTAGGTGGTACCAAATTCTGGACTAAGTGTTCTTTTAATTTTCTCTCTTCTTCAGCTCTTTCTTTTTCTCGCGGTAGTTAGCGGAAAGCAGTGACTGGGTGATTGACAGCTAATATTAACCAATCTAAAATCTGCATTAAAGTTAAGAATGTAAAGACGAAGTTTAATTGGTTATGTAGCCTAACGTTTCATAGAATGGCAGACAGGTCACCATATCAACACTCAGAAGGCACGTACTCTGAATGTTTTTAGAGAAATGCAAACAGGTCGCACGACAACAATTATATGCACTCGCACAAATGCTCCCAAATATATTTTGAGGTCGCACAGATTAAATTTCGGGAGCATATGCGACCAAAATGGTCGCAATTTCGAGCCTTGAACAGGAAAAATCTTTAGAGCTGTTGAATAATCTAGAGGAAGCATCATATAATAAGAGACACTTTCTATGATATGGACACTTTTTTTCCCAACAAAATGAATTTATGTTAGAAAATGTTGTTGTTGATCAAACATATTTAATAGTTCTCCCTGTAGAAACATGGGATTTGTGTCTATAATACTTACAAATAGTTAATTTCAGAGATACATAATTTATAAAAATGCATCAAAAAGATACATATACATAGATATACATACATACAGGTGCATCTCAATAAATTAGAATGTCATGGAAAAGTTCATTTATTTCAGTAATTCAACTCAAATTGTGAATAAATTCAATGCACACAGACTGAAGTTGTTTAAGTCTTTGGTTCTTTTAATTGTGATGATTTTGTCTCACATTGGCTCACAAAAACCCACCAATTCACTATCTCAACAAATTAGAATATGGTGACATGCCAATAAGCTAATCAACTTAAAACATCTGCAAAGGTTTCCTGAGCCTTCAAAATGGTCTCTCAGTTTGGTTCACTAGGCTACACAATCATGGGGAAGACTGCTGATCTGACAGTTGTCCAGAAGACAATCATTGACATCCTTCACAAGGAGGGTAAGCCACAAACATTAATTGCCTATGAAGCTGGCTGTTCACAGAGTGCTGTATCCAAGCATGTTAACAGAAAGTTGAGTGGAAGGATAAAGTGTAGAAGAAAAAGATGCACAACCAACCGAGAGAACTGCAGCCTTATGAGGATTGTCAAGCAAAATCGATTCAAGAATTTGAGTGAACTTCACAAGGAATGGACTGAGGCTGGGGTCCACACACAGACATGTCAAGAAATGAACTTTTCCATGACATTTTAATTTATTGAGATGCACCTGTATGTGTTTACATCAGGGTTCATTTTTATCTCCTTTCACAATTAACTGAAAATAAACAATTTTTACTTTTATTTCAGAGTTAAATGAAGAAAACGAGGAGAGTGAAGAATTGAGTGAAGTTGAGGAGAAAAATCATGTCAAAACTGAAGAAAAACCTTTGAGTTGCTCTCAAACCGAACAGGATTTAAAGAAAAGAAGAGCCAATAAATCATTCACCTGCACTCAGTGTGGAACGAGATTCACACACAAAACAAGTCTTGAGCGCCACATGAGAGTTCACACTGGAGAGAAACTATACACTTGTGATCAGTGCGGGAAGAGTTTCTCACGATCATCACACCTTAAGATACACATGAAGATCCACACTGAAGAGAAACCATACACATGTGATCAGTGCAGCAAAACATTTTTGAGGGCTTCAGACCTGAAGCAGCACCTGAGAGTTCATACAAAGGAGAAGCCACATTCATGTTATTTGTGTGGAAAGAGTTTTTCATGTTTACAATATTTGAAAGTACATCAGAAAATACATACTGCTGTGAGAGAGTACATGTGCTTTGAGTGTGAAAAGACTTTTACTTCAGCAAAGTGTTTAAAACGGCATGAGAGGATCCACTCTGGAGAAAAACCTTACAAGTGTTCACACTGTGACAAGAGATTCAATCAGTCATCAACTCTGAGAACACACGAGAGAATCCACACTGGAGAGAAACCGTATCACTGCACTGCATGTGGGAAGTGTTTCAGTCATTCATCTGCTGTACACAGTCATACAAAAAACAATCACATTAAGTAGATCATCTTCAGATCCAGCACATTCAGATCTGATGCTGTGTCCTTAACAAATTCTTATCAAACGTAATTTATTCCAAGCACGCTCTTTTATCTGGGTCATATATGTAAGGCATTTGCAAACATCACACAAATGAACGAGGGAATCTCCGCATTCCACCTGGAAACTAACATCTCTTCTCAACCATCTGAGAGCCGTAAAGCTGAATCACGGTCAGCCAGGCGCCAATTGTCTCAAATGAGTTCCGCATCCTTTTACTACTTTCCAGAAAAGCGTGCGTTTCTCCTGTCACAGACAAAGACAATTCATAAGACAGTCATTTAAAATCATTTAAAGTATCAGAGCAATATACTCCCAAATAATATGCTTGCTGTTTGATGTGTTATTGAAACCATGATATCTTAATCTGTGCATTATAACTTGTCCTTTTAGCTATTACGATTATTGTGTATGCAAAATACCTGCTATTTGAGCTGAAATGGAAGCTTATTTTATGTGAGAAACTTTGGTATGAAGGAGAAGTGAGAAGTATGTACAATACTCGCAGTAGGAAACTTTATAAAAGTATTAACCAAATCATCACAAAGAGTTTTCTCCACATAATAAATTGGAGCCTCTTGTTGATGTATGCACACTCTGCCCTGCAAGAAGGCGATTGGGAGATCGCGCCGTGGGATGGTCTGAGGCCGTGGATCAAAACCCCAATACAAGACAGACTCCAGTGCTGGCTTGCTTGCTTGCGTCATCGCTTTTCGCCATGTTAAGAGCACTCCAACATGTGCTCACACGCTTACCATCAAAGCGATCAGTCATCTAAAACTCAAACACTTGAGTTGAAACTTCTGGGATTGTCAGAGATCTTCAAAGAACTTAGTCTTGCAAACTCAAGACTTTTTCAGCAGAACTGCTCAAGCCTCTTGCATCATCAAGGAACCAACCAATCTCCAGAAGGGTTTCCCCAAAGGGACACCATCCTGACGTCACCTCAGTAACCAATCAGCAACGGAATTCCCTCAAGCAGCCAAACCAGGAAACTCAGCTTTTTAGCTGTCACCCAAAATGCAAGTAAACAAACAAAATCTTATCTCTGCTGAACTGGTCCCGAGCTAATTTAAGCAGTAAACATAAGACAAACCTCTGCTTTGGGATTTTCTCAGGTCACAAGTAAGAGAACTGTAGTGAATATCTTGCTAAAACTTTGGGCTTTCCTCAGAACTCCATTAACATAATTTCCTTCCTCTGAAACTGTATGTTTGTGTGTTTTTGTGTTTTAGCTTAGTTTGATGTAATCTAGAATAGCCAATAAAAATTCATGTTTCATTTATAAATAATAATTTGTCTGGTGTCATATAATTTGAAGGTTAAAACTTTGCCAAGATCAACGTTACATCTGGTGGAGAAAAAATAAGCTGGCAGATTTGACTGAGAAATTAATGACGCAAGATAATATTATGAATCTTGTCTATTTTTATCCGGAAAAATAGATTAAGAGATAGAGAAACTGAGTTTGTTGTGTTATTGGATATGTTATTGTAGCACGGCAGAGCGTGTTGAGTGAAAGTGAAACTCGAAGGTTTGTTGTAAAGAATTGAACTGCAGTAAAACATTTAATTTAGTTCACCGAGACAAAATAAGTCACTAAGTCACTCTAGAAAAGCGCACGAAGGAAGAAACGAGCGGTTTTCCTCGTTTACTTTCTCTAAAAAGGCCTCAGAGTGTAATTTGTATAAGTGCATTTTCCACTTCCAAATGCAACTCTGCTATTAATCTCCCTGGTTTGAAGAAATCAGAGTAGCTAGCTGATAGTCCGCTGCCATTTAATTCACTAAAACTAGTGAACTTGAAACGCGGTACTCAGAGAGAGTGTCCGAACGATATTTTACTTTTGGGAGAAAAATTAAATTGTGGTTAAATCCACACGTTTTTGTCTGTATGAATATGTGCTGATATCATTGACAGTTATTGTATTGATTGCAGTGAATCGGTAGATTAATTCACCTCACTCAGAACGAGTTGAGAGTGTTTAGCGCTATAAGATAAGAATCGATAGTGCTTTTTTGGTTGTGTAGTGCGAGACGCGCTGACGTCTCACTGAAACCACAGCTAGTAAACTCACATGCGCATGCTGTGTACGTCGCCATAGTAGCAGCCATAGCCCGGGAGTCCTGAGAAACCTTTTCCGGGGTATCTTTCAGTCCGCCAGTGCCATGTTGAGCTGTTGTAAACAAAGAGCTAAGCTAAACTATTGGCGTTGAAGGCTAATGTACGTTGTGATTAATTCAGCTATAACAGCCCTTATAATTTTATGGACATCCGTAGATATGATCAATTTGCTATACTTAAGCATTTGAAATTGTTAATTTAACTTCGTAATTAACTATAGATTTGACATTTTAATTTCATTTCACAAATTAATTACAGTTCTAGCTTCCACATAGCAACGAAATCTACTGATTAATTTAATTATAAATTGCTCTTATTATCTAGTGACCATAACATTAGAATTTTTAATCATTAACTTATCAATATTACTCTGAAATTTTAATTTCAGTAAATAGTTAAATAGGGTTGGGTTCCCTATTCAATGATACAGTTAATTAATTTAATTATAGTCACTCTTATCAATTGTTAATAATGACACCAGTAGATATTGTTGGTTTATCCGTAAGGATTTGAAATTGTTAAGTTAATTTCATAATTAATTACAGATTTGAAATTTTAATTTCATTTCATAAATTAATTTCAGTTCCTGCTTCCACATGGCAACAATATTTACTGATGAATTTAATTATAGGTGCTATTACAATTTAAAGACAACAACATTAAAAGTTTAATCTTTAAGGATAACAAGTTACTAATACTGATTTCATAATTAATTACATATTTGGAATTTTAATTTAATTTAATAATTAATTACGGGTCCTGTTTCCATATGGCCACACTATTTGCTGATCATTTCAACTATAATTGCGTTGCTAAATTTTATGACAAACATCATCAAAAATTTTAATCCTTAACTGTCAATAATGCAATAAAATTTTAATTTCATGGTTAGCTCATTAGTGTTTGGGTTATCCTGCTTCAAGATATTGATTGATTAATCGTAATTTTTAATTACTCTCATCAATTTTAATGATAACATCATTAAATGTTAACCAGGAAATACCATTTCTAACCTGAAATTCTAATTTAATTTGCAATTGGCCTTCTTTTCCCTCTCCCTTTCAGTTATTTAATTCACACAGCAAAACCAACCCCCTAGGGCAGGGGTAGGCAAGTTTGGTCCTAGAGAGCCGCAGTCCTGCAGAGTTCAGCTCCAACCCTAATCAGTAATCAGACACACCTGAACAAGCTAATCAATGTCTTCAGGATTACTAAGGCTATAGGCAGGTGAGTTTTTTTTCAGGGTTGGAGCTGAACTCTGCAGGAATGCGGCTCTCTAGGACCGAACTTGCCTACCCCTGCCCTAGGGGTATCACTTTAACAGTGCCATCTCTCTCTCTCCTTCTCCTCTCTCTCAGCTGTTTCCTTCTGAGTTGACTACTGCGGTTGTTTGCTGGTATTTTGCCTGTGGAAATCACAAAGCAGAGAATTTTTGCAAATAGAACAGGTATTTGTGAATCTTGAGAACAGTGGTTCAAAATTGTCTTCCATTTACCTTCACTCTCTTGTGAAACCCTACCCAGCTAAGAAGACGGACAGGCACCCGCCAAAATTTGAACAAGCATCTAGAAACATTTAATTGGTGAATGGTGTCAATCTCAACAGCTAAAAAACCCAATACTGTGATTTTTATTGTTTTTCCTTCACCCGGAGGAATTTTAATAACAATCACAATCCTGTGGTTTGTGGTATTAAGAATCCCCATTCCCAAATGCCGGTTTAGAAGCATCCTTCTAAATCAAACTTAACCAAAATGAAAAAGAGAAGAAAATTCTATTATACTCATTCTGCTACCAGAAAAGGGTATTTTGTTGTTTTATATTTCCCTCTCATCTTACCATTAACTTTCTTTCCTTTATAAAAAAAACTTTTCTCTTACAGGAAAATTGGAAGCAGCCAATTGGTATCCTGTTATCTGCTCTTTTTTCTTTCATCCCGCTGTTCTCTAGCTGTGCTACCTGTGTGTGTGCTTACTAATTTTCCCCACAGAGACTACAAATTAGGAGCACGCTCACCAGAGAATCACAGTCACCGAGAACTACACTCACTTGTCCCGTACACACTCACTGTCAAACCACACGTGACATTGCACACTTACACCCCTGTTTTGCCTTGTTTGTTTTGTTTCCTCTTCTTTAAGGTCTGTGTCAGTCTAGGTTCTAAGATCTCCCTCACCGCGCCAAAACATGTCTCGCACAACAGACTCGGAAGACCTCGAGACCTGGCTAAGTGTCGCAACAGACAGCCTCCTACCTAAGGCTGCTGAAACCCTGAGGCATCAGACACAGGACCAGCTGGATGACAACATAGCAAACCTCATGAAACAAGACCCAAGTCAGAGCTACAGTCACAAAGAATTAGCAAAGATCACCGGCTACTTAAGCCACACACTCATCGCCACCCTCAAGCTGAGCGACAGGCACGCCACCCATCTCCAGCAGGAGCTAACACGCGCACAACGACGCGCCGAGCAGCTAGAACTGGAGGCTCAGGAACGACAGGAAGGGCCTGATGAAGTGGAACAAGGTGCAGAGGAGAAGATCACTAGGCTAAAAGAGACCCTAGCAGCTGCTACCCAAGAAATGGAATGAGGCAAGGCTGACTACGCTGATCTCTCCAACAAGCTACAATATGCCAAACAGCTCCTGGAAAAAGCAAAGGCTGACTTCAGAGACAAGAACGGCCGAATTAAAGCCCTTGAAACTCACCTGGATGAGTCAAGAAATGAGATCAGTCGCCTAACACTACAGCTGGACTACATCAAAGAGAAGTCCGACAGCATCAGAGATGAACTCAGACATGCCTAAGAGCTGCGCCCTGAGCCTACAAGGAGACGACGGGCACCCATCTCACCCCTGCCAAGCAGGACCGGGTCACCTGTTCCTCCTTATATTTTATTCACAATAGAATATAGATAACATATCAAATGTTGAAAGTGAGACATTTTGAAATGTCATGCCAAATATTGTCTCATTTTGGATTTCATGAGAGTTACACATTCCAAAAAAGTTGGGACAGGTAGCAATAAGAGCAATAAGAAAAGTTAAATGTACATATAAGGAACAGCTGGAGGAC